AGCAGTCCTCTGACCCCCACACGTGTGCTGTGCTGAATTCACACACACACAAGGAGACAAATGTAATAAACATGTATAAAACAGAATAAATCAAGGAGAGACAATGGGGTGAAAAGAGATTAATTCTGAAATAATTTTGAGAACTGAGAAGTAATTGGTGAGAATTTTCCAGAGCTGATAAAACTTGTATGTCTGAAGAAACCTATCAAGTACCAGATAGGGCTGGTGAAGGCAAAACCACCACAGTGGAACCACAGGTCGCCAAGGCACAAGGCAAGTCCTAATGTTAACTTGAAAGCAAAGAGAGATGCATATAGCAACTGATGTCTACCACCCCCTTTGTAAATGGGTGTGAAGCAGGAGCTGGTGAGGTGGCAGCAGTGAAGAGCACCGGCTGCTCTTGCAGAGGACCAGAGTTTGATTCCCAGCACCCACACTGGGCAGCTCACAACCACCTCTAACTCTAGCTTCAGGAAATCTGATGTCCTCTTATGGCCTCTGTGGGTACTCGTACACACGTACACACACGCGTGCGCATGCACACACACACTAAATCTTTAAAAAGTGTGAAGAGGAATCAGAATTCTATGCTCTTACTTCTATGAACATAAATACTTTCTAGGATTTGAATGTGAAATATCCTCCATAAACTTATGAGTCTGAACACTTGATCCCTGACTGTTGGAGTTATTTTTGGTGATTTTTAGAACCTTCAATGAACTTCCTGGCTGGAGGAAGTAATTCTTGGGGAGCAGGCCTTGGGGGTTCATAGCACAGCCCCACTTCCAGCTCAAGTATTTTGCTTCCTACACTGCTGAGCTGTAAGGAGTCTCAGCAATATGCTCTCACTGGCTTGGGCTCTGCTATACATTTGGTGCCACGATGGACTGCACTCTGTCAATCTGAGAGAGAAAATAAACTTAGTTTATTTTCCCTTAAGTTGCTTCTGTCAGGTATTTAGCAAAGAGATGAGAAAAACACAGCATCTCAAAAGCAAACGTAAACAAAAAGAAAGCCAGACAGGGAGGGAAATTTTCCCTCTACTTAACAAGTGTTTCTTAGTGACATGGGACCAGGGGATGGGGTTGCCAACTGGTTGAAGATGACAGCCAGCAATCATCAACAGCTCTCCAAAGGACACAGAATTGCATGGAACTTACAGGAATGATAATATGGAATTACTACACAAACAGAGCCCTTCCTTGGCAATTGAATCTTCTAATACATGACTAGCAAAATAAAGAGGACTGTCACGCAGATGGAAAAATTACATTCGGTTTACCCAAGATGAGAAATCTGTGGGGAGAATATGGAACGGCAAAGGAAACAATAGATGAATGCGACTCATAGGGTATTGTTTGGGGACCTCCTGGAGAGCAGCTGGCCCCCTGGAAGGAGGCCAAGCGCAGTGTCCCTGGGGAGCTGGAGGAGGGCCCACCACCTGTGGTGTGGGGGCCACCTGGCATGCCCCTAGCCATCCTGCCATACATTTCCTGCAGAGCCCCCAAGAAGTCTGGTGTCCTGCAGCAAGGAAGGTGATTTAAGCCAAGCCCAAACTCCTCACCCATCCTGCAGCCCTCCTGGGGAGTCATGAGAAGCCCACCTCTGCGTGCGGGGTGGGCACCCAGTCCCGCTGGAATGCAGTCACCCATTTGGGCAGAGTTTTGTTTCAATTGCTTGCTCCTTCACTGAACATTTGTTGAGCAGCCGTATGTTCTCAGTGTTTGCAGCACAGGCTCTGTAACAGCATGGTTCCCACACAGAAATTTCAACAAACAGGAAAGCGAAGCCATTTTGCTAGGGATGAATAAACAGATGATAAGATCATCCAGGAAATCAAGAAAATGATTTCCCAGAACACGGAAGATGATAGGTGTGGTGAAGAGGGGAGGCTAGCCCAGCCCTGGATTGGCTGCCCGCCCTGCTGCATATTCTTAGGCTAGCTGAGGGAGACGGCCTCACAGATTTGGGAGAACGGTGGGATCTGGGCAGCTGATGGGACTTTGGTGGTTGTGGATTCGTCATTCATCCTCCTGGTCTAAATAATCAGAGCACCCATACTCTACTGGATGGCCTATGCGGGGTGGGCAGCACAAGTCACTGATGGGTTATGAGGGAAGAAACTAAGGGATAGGCACCAGGGACATATATTCTTCTAGCGACAAGATCTATGTAAATAGTAGGCATAACTATGGTTATCAATAATGGGCTTATTAAAGAACTGGAAAAATTCATAGAAGGCCGAGGGGAAGGGTGGCAGAGTATTGATGGGCAGGGCAGGTGTGTCAGTATCTCCACACCCCAATAAACAGTATAAGGTCAGGGATAAAAACCATTAGGGTTTAACGTATGATTTAACGCTGTAAATAAAGCTTACAAGATCAGTGTAATTACAATGGCTGGCTTGGAGGGTGAGTGGGGGCTTGGCGTTGTCTGGAAAGGGGGCAAAGAAACTTTGCGTGGTGATGGGGGTTTTCTGTATCTTGATTTGGGTGGTGGTGATGCCACTACTTGGGTTTGTCAGAATTCATAGACAGGGTGAATTTTTACTGTGCTCAAATTATAATTCCATAAACCAGGGAAGGAAAGACAAAAGTAAATTAAATACATGTCTTTTAGATGGGGCCAAAAAGAATCATGTGAAGTTTGCAAATCAACAACACACAATATAGAGTTAGCAAAGGGTCCCCAGGAAACACTGAACATGCTTCTTGAAAGAATTACAGGAGAGAAAGGCTGCTCTTTGACTTTATAATTTTGCTGTCTACCTATTTTTCTTATTGGTATTAAAAATTAAGGTTTAAAAACAAAACAAACAAACAGAAGTTGGAGGTAGTGGCTCACGTCTGTGATCCCAGCATTAGGGAGGCTGAGGTCTGAGCTCTGAGAGTTTGAGGCCTGCCTGGACTACACAGTGAGTTTGAGCTTTGCTCAGGCTAACTGAGACTGTCCTGACAAACAACAAGGGAATCCATGGGTGGATAATAAAATACAGAGTAAATAAATAAAAATAAAACACAGAAGAATTTCCCTAGAAGGACAAAGAACTGCCTTGTCTCTTTTCCTCGGGTGCTCTCTGCAGCAAAGCGTTCGGTCTAGATCAAGTGTTACTGCTCTCTTGAGTCTTTCTCAAATACTTCTTCCTTCCTCCCTTGGCTTTCACGACCTTGAACTTTGTGAAGATCCAGGCTAGACCTTGCAATTATTTGTGCTTCAGCTGGGTGACTTGAAGCATCCCTTTGGGTCAGACCTGATGTTACTGACAGGACTCTGTGTCCTCTCTGCATCCTGGCGGAGTGGTCCTGGGGGGCCACCTGTTCCATAACTAAGATGCCATCTTCTGTGCTCTAAACTGTAAAAGCCAGTTTTCTCCACTTTAAAACAGGCAAGTATTTTGATGGGAGACATTCTGAGAGCACATAAGGTCCTTTTCTACTCTTCTTCTCCCCCATTACTCTTCACCTGAATCAGTTATTACTTTGAAGATTTGCCATGAGGCACACTTTAATGAAGCGGATTCAGAGACGCCTGATTGGACATAATTTGGCCATAATGGATCAGCAACATTATTTGCTTCTTGTTTGAATGTACTCACTGGGAGCTCTTCTTTGGCTTCTGTGTCATGCTGACACATCACTCTTTGGTTACTTCCTTCACTCAGACTCTAGAGAGGAAGTCACGGACACACCTGTTCTTTCCTGCCTCGGTCCTGGAAGTAGCTAGTTCCTTTGAGCCGTATTTTGTGGCCAAGCTTGGGGCTGACTGGTGTCCCCACTGCTGTTTGGATCTCAAAGTTTCCAGGACTTCTCAGTAGCAGCTGGAAAACGCACGTGTGTAGCCACAAACGCACACACAAACTTTCCATGCACCTTCACGAACCTCCCCCACCACACATACGTACCTAGGCTCTTTGAGACAGGGTTTCCCTGGCTGTGCTAAAACTCCATTTGTAGACCAGCCTGGCCTTGGACTGCCTGACTCTGCTTCCCAAGCGCTGGAGTCAGAGGTGTGTGCCCCGGTCTCCTGGCTTCATCTAAACATTCGAACCTACCACAAGTTCATACCTCGAGCTTCGACACGCCTCAAATTCCAGAGTTTATCTTTCTGTTATCTGCATAATAGGCCTCTTCCTAGAACAAAAGAAATAGCCGCTCCCATGGTCCGTAGTGTGCTTTCCTCTTAGGATCCGTCTCCTGGTCCTCCAGCCTGCCACACCACAGTCTCCCTGTGCTCCTTGCCTCCCCTCTCATTGTATGCAGAATGCATTTAACTTTGTTGAGATAGTAAAAATTAGGAGCTGGGCATAATAAAAGGAACAAACAGCATTGCAAGACGATGTCACAAGTAACAGTCTTCATGTTCTATGCACTGAGAAGAAATAGATCAACAGGGTTTTTTTTTCTATTTCCCGTACCAACAGTTTAACTGTAAAACATTTAAAAAAATTCATCTGATCTAGCCATGTGTGATGGCTCATAACTGTAATCTCAGTTCGCAGGAGCCTGAAGGAGAAGGATCACCTCAAGTTAGAAGCCAATTTAGGCTACATAGTGAGTTTTAGGCCAGCCTGGCCTCCAGAGTAAAACCCTGTCTCAAAACAAACAAACAAACAAACAAACAAACAAAAAACAACAACAAACACTAAAACCCAAAAACCAAACAGCAGCAACAACAATGAAAGCAAATCATTTCAGTCGTTTCATCTGTTCTATGAAATACTGAGCTCACAGTTTGACTCCGATGTCCTTCTATGGGTATCATATAGCAACAACGGCCTCAGTTCACGGTGTCCCACGTTCTTATACACACACACACACACACACACACACACACACACACACACACACGTACACCTACATGCATATGAACACACATACACAAATTCATGTATATATACATACATGTGCATATACATACATATGAACATACATGCACACATACATGCACACGTATGTTTCGAGCACTTGGTCACCTGGCAGCCACACAGTGTGAGCACACACCCGAAATGTCGCAGTAGACTGTCTGCTGATAGAGCTTGGCCTCCAGGGGGTTAAAGTACACAGTCATTTCAGCTGAGGAGTTGGGCCAGACATCGCCTTCCTGAAACATGAACGAGAAAGAAAGGTGTTTTGTTTTTGTTTTTTTTCAAATGACAATTTCATGAATTTTTTTTATTTCTTTGAGGAGTTCATGAAGTTCTGACATAGATGTGGTGAGCAACATGGTCAAGTAGATCAGCGTGTGCAACCCCTAAGCGGCTCCTTGGGTGTGTCACGAGAGCACCTCAGGTCTGCTCTTACCGAGTTTCCAATACACGTGTTATTAACGGCACGTGTCATACTGTGCACTGGCTCTCCAGGACTCACAGTTGTGTATTTGTGCTGCGTGACCAGCATCTCCCCATTTGCCCATCGTCACCCTCTGAGCCCTGGCCCCTGCCGTCCTACTCTTTGCTTCCACGGCGTCTCTTCTTTTTATAGCCTGCACACACATGAGAACATGCCATATGGCTCTGGCCTTTCTGGGTCTAGCCTGACTCACTTAGCAATACTGTTGCAAGTGCCAGGGGCCTTCCAACATTTGAAGGGTTTTGCATTACTGTGGGGCACACACCCTTGCAAATATTCACTGCCTGCCGCGGTGCGCCTGTGAAGGTCAGAAGACAACCTGTGGGGGCCTCTCCTTCCACCGCCTGGGTCCCAAGGATTAGGTTCAGGTTGGCAGGGTTGGCAGCAAGTGCCTTTACCCACTGAGCATCTTGCCAGAGCCCAACAAGGGTTTTAAGGCTGAACAATATTCCGCTATGTGTATATATTACATTTCTTGAGTCACCTGTGAAGGGCTCTGGCAGGCCTTGCCCTTCTCCCCCATTCCCTCTGCCTTGCTAAAAAACCATTAGATTACATTCCAAAAGCTAGCTACCATGGTCTGTTCCTTTATTTGGCCACTTCCTCCTCCTGAGGCTGACTATCAAGGCCCAGCTATCAAAGTATTAAAGCCCAGTAATCAAAAGCCCCTAATTAATATGCCTAATCAAAATTAAACACCTCATCCTAACACAGGTTTCCTCTTTTCCCTTCAAAAACTCCCATTTGCCTATGAGGCCACATTTGTCTCCTCAGTATCTAGAGGCAGTCATTTGTCCCTCCAGGGTAAATATCCCTGCCCCCTTTCCCCCTTTTCCCCTTTTCCCTTGTCCTCTGTCTCCCGGCTTTGTCTCTTGTTCCCTAACCTTTGTATCTTTGAGATAAATAGATCTTCTCTGGGCTGAGAACTTGGTCTTGGTGTGTGCTTTGCTGATATAGGACCTCTGCCCATGAATATTCAAGTTGTGCCACAGGTTGGCTATTTAAATCATGCTACAGAGAACATAGGACTGAGCCTGTGCAAATACAGAGTTCACTTCCTTTGGGTATGTAGCAAGAAGAGAGGGTCTTCTGGGTCACACAGTAGTTCTATCTTTAATTTCTTCAGAAACCTTGTACTGTTTTCTGTAATGGCTGTACCAATTTACATTTCTCACTAAACTCTACACAAAGGCTGAAATCCTGGAAACCCGAAGGAAACACTTTCCCGACCCACGAGATAACACTATTTTGCTCAGCAGATGTAGATGCGACACTGCTTGCTAGCTTATGAAGTTGCACAAATTTTGAACAAGGTTAAAAGATAATGTCAGTGAGTTTATGAATATAAAATGCATTAATGAGGAAACCAGGAAGGATAAGTTTATTTTTTTTCCTTCTTTGAAATGGAGTTTTACTGTGTAGTCAAGGCTGGCCTCAAACTCCTGATCCTCTGTCTCCATCTCCTATGTGCCGGGGTTGCAGCTGTGTGTTAGCATGCTTTGTGGGACAAGGCATCTGTAAGATACTGTGTGTTGAGCATCCGCTATCTGCTCCATGTGTACTCAGCCCTGGGATATCGGTGGAGGCAGGGTAGGCCCAAGACTGCAGGAAGTTTGGCCATTATCAGGATGATTGACATGACTATACATGGAAAAGGCGGCCCCTATAAAATTAAGATCCCGGGGGAGGTGGGGGAGGTGCAGAGAAAGGAGTACCTGGCTTCCTAGGCTGAGGTGCCACCTTCCTAACTTTTGAGTGACAACAAATAGAAAGACCTCTGCTCTACTCAGCCATAGCAACGGCCCAAGGGAGGACAGTGGCCAGACAGGAATGTTTCTGACCCAGTGGGCCGTCTCCCACTGTAATTCACACTACCCTAAAGCCATAGTAGGAAACCCAAGCTTTGCTACAGTGAAAGAATAACCCACCTACCAGATTTTACCCACCAGGAAAATTTTTGATTTATAATATTGTGCTGACCATATAATCTGGTGTCTCTTCACTAATTTCGCAAGCTGAAAGGGGTGCTAATTGCACCCCTTGATTCTAAGAGCTCCCCCAAGGCCTGGGAAAGCCATGTATTCAGTGAGAGCTCCCTAGATCTTTGTTGACTACGATTCATGTTACTTCTGTGCTACTTAAAAGGATAAGCTGAAAGGTTGACGAGGCAGGAGGAGGGACAAAAAAAAAAATGTACCTTTTCCTAAACGTTTTGTAAATAAGGCCAAATGAACACAAGTACTAAACATGTTCAGAAATCTAAACACAGCTCAATAGAAAACCAAGGCTAGACAACTTAATAAATAATCAGGCTGCAGTTTCAGGCAGTCCCCAAAGCGTACCAGAGCTGGTCTGGCTGGAAGGAAAAATACTCCTGGAATCGAGTCGAGAACAAATGGCTGACATCATCGCCTAGCAGAGGGAAGGTCCTCCACTCAACCCCACCCACCACCTGAAGAAAAGGCAACAGCAGGTAAGAGCGCAAAATGGAAAATGAGAGGCATTTTGATTTATTTATGAGAGCAGCTGGTCTGAGCTATGACCTTCTCAGGCAGTGTCTCTCTCTCTCCTGACTTCGAGGCGAGGGCTGGGCACCAAGGCTTCAAGAAGCAACAATGAGGCTACAAAGGTCATGAAATGGTTTTGCATCCCCAGGTAAGTCCAAGAGAAGAGAGGCAGGTACTCACTCCTCCATCTGTAGAGCCAGAGAAGAGGTGGCTCTTGGTAGGTGCTTGCTAATACCCACTGAGTCAGCTGTCTCTACTCTGCTTGTACCTCATGTAGTAACAGACACGGAGGTATTTCTGAAGCCTCTTTCTGTCCTTCTTGTTGCATTTGGGACCCTCAAAATCATACAGTTGTAATGCTTAGAGAGGCGCCTGGGATCCCACAGGAGACAGAGGAGTCCAAAGCACCCTCATGGACTTAAGCCATTTCACTGCAGAGTGTTGCAAGACCTTGAAACAAATCCTTGTTCCCTTTTGGTACATGGCAAATGCTGGTGGGGTCTAAAGGCGATGATGGAGTGTTAGGACCTAGAAAGGGCAGGCAGGCCAACAAATGTGGCTCAGCCATTCTGCTAACTGGTGCCTTGTCAGTGGGCATCCTTCCCAATGACTGAAGATGTGGGCTTCTTCTTGATCCATGTGTTACGTGTGAATCTGCAGGTGGGTTTGGACCCTGCCCTGACCAGGCATTGAGTAGACGAAGCTAACTTGCTCCAACACAAACCAGCCAAAGCACTCAAGGGACTTTCTGGATCCTGAGAGATCCAGGCCAGAACTAAATGTCAGTGAATCGTAAGAAGTTGTCCCCAAAGGATAACCTGGAAGTCAGATTATCTCAGAACATGTGAATAGAAGTCTATGGCTTGGGGTAATCCCAACCTTATGCATGGCCTCCAAGACACAGAGTCCAGGGTGTGTGCGCGCGCAGACAAAAGGGCAGCTCAGCCTGAGCCTCAACGTGCTCTTGAACCTGCCATGGTCAAGTAAGTCTGCCAGGTAGAAGTGGAGGGTTGGGCAGGGAGACACAACTGAAAGGAGAGATCTGGCCCTCCCCAGAGAAAGGGTCCTGGCACTCAGGTAAGATTGTGAAAGGGTCCTCTGGTGACAGGAGGCCAGCATAAAGAGCCGGTCCACAGAGTTGAGACTGAATGAGGCCCAGCGCTGCGGAGTTCTCACACAGAAGGGCACCTGCCTCGCGGAGCCTGCAGCGTCTCTTTATGAACACGGGGTTAACTCAAGGACGAAGGTTACCCCAGAGCCCTCTCCTGGGTCACGGTGTGTGTCAGTGAACTAACTGCGCTGCGTATCTTTCACAACAAAAGTGTGGTCATTCCGTTTCTTCTCTCAGAGGGAAGCCGGCAGTGTGATGTCATTCCCTATTTTTCCTTTCCAGTTTGGCTTCATTAAAAAGTGAAGCTTCTTCTTCTTCTTTCTAGCAAAAACACGGTTAAAAAAAAAAAGCCATGACATTTCCTAGCAAATCCAAGAAGAAATGGTACAAACAGGCACTAAGCTTGAAATGACCATACTTTACTCCTTGCCTTTGAATTGCCTCATCTTACATCTTACTAACCCTGATGAAATTAACTTTGGGGTCACTTGTGCTCCTGGAAATGCCTTTTCATTCTTGATTGCCCAGCTCTGACATTTCAGAAAATCAAAACATTCAGAAATTTCCTTCCTGTCTCCAGGAACTTCTGGAGCTCTCTTTGCACTCAGCTCCCGGCTGCTCTGTTTTCTTCTAAGTCTATCTCAAAGACTCCCTCCTTTGACCATTTTCCCTACTGCAAATGGGAACCCGAGTTTAGAGGATTCAATCTGACACTGTTACTCTGATGTAAAAAATAAAATAAAATAAAATACAGCGGCCCTCAGTTCTATTATAATCATTTCACCTTTGCTCTCATGCCTTGTCATTCCTCGGCTCTGAATGGAACAACTGTATTTTACCTCACAATCAAGTGACCTGCTAGAAGAAACTGACTTAAAAAATCTTAAGTCTAATGCCATATGCTAATTTCCCCAATATTATATTATTATTCTTGGAACTTTCTAGCTCTTCCTGAATAAGAACAGTGAACCAGGCAGCATCATGGCTACTGCACAGCCTGTTTTGGCTGCTATGAGTATGCAGCTGCTGGTCCATGACAGGTGATGAACACAGTGAGAAAGTTATCTTTGAAAGGGACTGGCGTCCTAAAGAAAGGGGTACAGTCCATCCACGGCAGGGTCATCAGGAGCTTGA